AGCTAAATGTGTGCTTCCCAACGTTTGTTCTGATCCTAGGAACTGACAATAGGTACGTTTTGTGATCGAAGGCCCTGCCTACCACACTCCTTCCTCTTCAGAGACTCACGCAAATAAGTGGGTAAAAGACCAAGAATTGCCTTATAGATAAAACACTGCCAGTGAATGAGCCTCCTGACAGCCAATGGAAACCAACCAGTCAGAGACAGTAGGGTACAATGATGAGTTGAGAACTGACTACCAGTCATGAACCTTAACGCTCCATGGTAGGCTGCGTCCAGGAGGTGAAGTGAATGTATTAGGGGAATTAATATAAATTAAATCACCAAAATCCAAAACGGGAAGGAAGATGGCAGTGATGAGCCGCTTCCTAACGGCCAGGGAGAAGCAAAGTTTATTCCTATAAAGGAAGCCTAAATGCATCCTCAGTTTTTTAATTAAATAATCAATGTGCATGGCAAAACAAAGGTTATTGTCGATAATAATTCCCAGATATTTGTAAGAGACCACCTCCTCAACKGGGGTACCATCAAAAGTGGTGAGAGATGAGGCCCCTGGCAGGATCTTCTTCCTACCAGAAAACAGCATGGACTTTATTTTACCTACATTTAGAACCAGATTCAACTGAAAGAGTTGGGATTGAATAAAATCAAATGCTGACTGCAAATTTTTAAAGACCAAATCAACCATACCAGTAGAGCAATAGAGGATTATATCATCTGCATAAAAGTGTAACGATGCATCTAAACCTCGTCCCACACTGTTAATGTAAACTGTAAAGAGTGTAGGACCCAAAATGGAGCCCTGTGGTACTCCATTCGAAACACCCAGAAAACCAGAGGAAAGTCCCTCACACTGTACCGCCTGCAAACAACCAGAGAGATAGTTGAGAAACCAGCTAGCAGCATGGTTCGATAGTCCTATATTTAACAGTCTCTGACACAATATGTCATGGTTAATGGTGTCAGACCCCACCTTGATGTTTCAGGACCCCACTGGATTACATTCAATCATTTCCATATTAACAGTAGTTTTGGGGTCTATACCTGTAGTCCTCTTTATCCTGCGTGTTTTAGTTGTTTTCCTCCTCTTCAGCAGGTCTTCAGGCTCTGCAGAAACCTTTTAATCRTTCATTTAAATCAGTTGTGTTGGAGCCTGCAGGATGGTGGTCCTCCAGGACCAGGAGGGAGTCCATAGGCTATATGATACACAGTTTTTTAAAAGCCCAAAAGATCTGATAATTCTGTGCACTAAAGAAAAAACACTTTTATTCACGCAGCCACCCTCATTTCATCAAAGCTTGCCAGGAAGAAAACCCCCCCAACCTGAGTCCACATTGACCAGCAATCAGGTTCAGGCTGTTAGTCTGTCTGATATGTGTTTTAGCAGAGACTGTAGTTTAATGTGACTGTCTGGGTCTAATATACAACAATGGCACTTAGAAGAACTTTTTACAGAGCCTGTAATACGAAGCCTGTAAGGAAACATTGGGGG